TAATTTATAAATTAATATTTTTAAATATCTTAATAATTATAAACTAATAAAATTAAACAAAATCAATATATATAGTAATTTGTATAGTCCCAACAATTATTATTGTTGCTATAACATGATTCATGTATGATATTTATAGTGGTTAAAAAGAATGATTTTATATTATATAATCTATTATTAAATGTAATAAAAAAATTAGTTTGTAATATACTCATCAACCTTAGAATCTTGGGCATACTGATCAAGTCGGAGTCTTACGTGATTATCGAAAAATGAAAAGAAGGGTTGGAGCATTGTGTGACGTTGGGTATCTCTGTGCTGTTCGTGCAAATGAAGTGGTTTAGTAGTTAGGTACCAGAGAGTGATGGAAATTAAATAAGATTTCCATTCCAAGAAAATAATGATTTTCTTTTTATATATATTACTTAATATTAGAAAATAAAAATTAATTTTATTTAAATAATTATTTAATTAAAATAATTCATATAATTAATAGTAAAATTAATAATAATTTTTATATTTTTAATATTAATTAATATAAAACTAATGTCCCGCATTCGATGGTGTAATGGTCACCCCTTCCAACGACGTGCGTAAGATTAAAAAAATTTGGAATCAAATCCCAAGTTTCTCATTCTTCTTTCCTAAAAGAAAATTTTACATTGTTCAAAAAAAAAATTAATATAAAACTAATACAATAATTACAGCCACGAATTGAAAAACTCTTTTGAACATAAAACATTCGTGACTTTTTTCTTTCTTTGATTTCACTGTTGTTTTGTCAATTAGGTATATCAATCATTATTGCTAAAACCTAATCCACACCTAATCCCGTACGAAGTAGTACTAATATGTCAGAAATCATTTATTATACAGCCATTTTCACACACTATTAATTAGATCTCGTAACGCAGATTTATTTAGTTAGTTAGTAACGGTTTACCAAAGATAAATCTAACATAATAACGAGTGGACAACTCACATTGCCTTTTTGTTATTATTATTATTAATTTTTTGAACCATTACAATTTTGTAATTTTGAAGAGATGTGAACCGAAGTGTAAGGAGATAAGAACTTTTCATATATATATATATATAGCTCTCTATGATTGTATACTCGTTATTCGTTAATTACAAAGACCAAATGACTAGAGGATTTTCGCTTGTTGCTTAAAGCCTTAAACATTGGGCCAAACCTTCAGCTACTACATTGCAATATTTAAGAAATATGGTTGGCAAGGGCAAAGTATGGTTGAATCATGTAAAGAAGATGTTATATATGCAAAGCCCCTTTTAAGGCTTCTCCGTATTACATTTATCCTCCCCCATGTGAGACGAGAACATCAAATAATGTCTAGTCCTACAATCACTATTTGGACCATTTTCTTGAAACCTCAAAAATTTTTTTTTTCCTCTAAAGAAATCCTACTATTAATGAGAGCAAACTTTAGTAGGTATACCCTGAAAAGAACGGAAAACCACAGCAAAATTTAGCTGTATTTTGCAATGCAGTTGAGGCCTCATTGAATATAGAAGGAGAAGATAACAATGTCACCTCATCTGTTCCTCCATGAAGCCGGTTGGCACATGCATGTTGCTATCTTTTTTACCCTAAAAATTGGGGTCATTTCCCCAACCTCTCAATATGGTCCCTAAATCTCCTGTGAGCATGTTGCTATCTTTTTTACCCTAAAAATTGGGGTCATTTCCCCACCTCTCAATATGGTCCCCAAACCTCATGTGAGGCCCTTAATGACGCCGTCGGCATCTCTCTAATTTCTTTCCCTCCAAAATCAATATAAATACAAGCCCCTTTTTTCAGCTTCACCATCCCGAAGATCTCAGAAGAATTTGTCTTCTGTGTGGTTTTCCCAATGAGGATCCGAGGAAACTACTTTTGTTTCTTGGTGGGCTTGCTGTTTATTGCAAATGTAGTGTTCTGCCATGCTGGCGATGAGAAGACCGTTGTCGAGGTTGTTGGAGCTGGAGAATGTGGAGGGTGTGAAGAGAACCACTTCAAAACCAGCCAGGCCTTTACAGGTATATTTTTGTTTTTTCTACATTGCTCTCAAATCCGTACTTGAAACTTCCAACTCAGGAATTATCAAATCCGAACCCGAAAATTCAGATATGTGTTTTTTTGCTAGTTATGCTTGTATAATGTACGACAGGAGGTAATTACATTTTGCTTTTCACCATTATGGTCCAACAACTTACATATTCAATACTCGTTACTACCACTCAAAAACGGCACTACAAGAAACACAGTAACGTTCCCTGTTTTTCTTCCCTTTTCTTTTTACAGGACTTAAAGTAACCATAGATTGCAAGCACAAAAATGGAGTGTTTAAGACCCGTGGCTCCGGGGAGCTCGATGGAGAAGGGAACTTCAAGGTTTCTCTTCCGAGGGACTTGATTAAAGATGGGAAGTTGAAGGAGGAATGCTATGCACAGTTGCACAGTGCGGCGGCCGGTCCCTGCCCTGCCCATGACGGCCTGGAGTCATCCAAGATTGTCTTGAAATCCACAGGTGATGGAAAGCATAGTTTTGGGTTGAATGGAAAGCTGAAGTTCTCGCCGGTGACATGTGCGTCGGATTCCTTCTGGCCGCATTTCAAGTACCCGCCGGTGCCGAAGATTCCGAAAGTATTCCCTCCGATTTACAAGAAACCTTTCCCTCCGATTTACAAGAAACCTTTCCCTCCGATTTACAAGAAACCTTTCCCGCCGATTTACGAGAAACCTTTCCCACCCCCTGTTCCTGTCTACGAGAAGCCACTTCCACCACCAGTTCCGGTGTATAAGAAGCCACTCCCACCCCCTGTTCCTGTCTACGAGAAGCCACTTCCACCACCGGTTCCAGTGTACAAGAAGCCACTTCCTCCGCCAGTTCCTGTCTACGAGAAGCCACTTCCACCACCAGTTCCGGTGTACAAGAAGCCACTTCCTCCGCCAGTTCCTGTATACAAGAAGCCACTTCCACCCCCTGTTCCAGTGTATGAGAAGCCACTTCCACCCCCTGTTCCAGTGTACAAAAAGCCACTTCCACCGCCTGTTCCGGTGTACAAAAAACCACTTCCTCCCCCTGTTCCAGTGTATGAGAAGCCACTTCCACCGCCTGTTCCGGTGTA